CCCACTCCAACAGCTCCGTGTCTTTCCCATGCTGAGGGCTCCAGAGCTGGACGCAGGGCACCAGGTGAGGTCTCAGCAGAGCAGAGAAGAGGGGCAGAATCCCCTCCCTCGCCCTGCTGCCCACGCTGCTGGGCATGCAGCCCAGGAGACGGTTGGCCTTCTGGGCTGCAAACACACATTGGTGGATCATGTCCAGCTTTTCATCCACCAGCACCCCCAAGTCCTCCTCTTCAGGGCTGCTCTCAATCCATTCTCTGCCCAGCCTGTACTGATACCAGGGGTTGCTCTGACCCAGATGCAAGACCTTGCACTTGGCCTGGTTGAACCTCATGAGGTTCATGTAGGCCCCCTTCTCGAGCTTGTCCAGGTCCATCTGGATGGCATCCCATCCTTCTGGGTGTTCTGAGTAATTCATACAGAAAAATCTATCAGTGCTTGAACCAACCACGAACAGACATTTTCCTGGAACAGTTTCACAATCCAGAGCAGGTAAGATGTAGAGCAATAGCTCTTGAGGTCCTTTCCTCATGGTTTGTTTTGGCCATAAATAGTTACAGGCCCAGGCAAGCCTGCAGAGGCTGTCTGCTCATCATTCTTTGCTTTTATCAGTAGACTGGGCTCCATGCTGACCCTCCTTAAGATGTCTTATCGTGCTTTTTAATACACACACCCCCTCTTTCTGTCTGACCCAAGCAAGTCAGGGATACAGAAGTATGACTGCAGTACTTTTACCTTGAAGAGGGCAAGTAACTCAGATGTCTCACTGAAGAGTTTCTTGTTCTCAAAAGCATCTGGTGAAGGGCAGCGAACAGCAGGAGAGCAGGCTACGGGACTCCTCGCGGTCCACTCAACGCTTCCTAGCGAAAAGTAAAAGCTGTATTACTTTGGTGGAACATTTAAGAACACATCAGTTAAAGTTTCATGTAACAACTATTCACGCTCCTCTCTGGACTTCACAGAAACATAGCCAGATGTATCAGCTTATTGGGCAAAAGTTGTAAATGCCTCTGTCAAGATTCCTCTGTTGTGAGATAATCACATGGGTTATCTCAAACTGTGTCAGTGCCACACTGCCAGCAGAATAGAAGTTTTCCCAAATAATTACTTTTTTACAGAGAGAAAGTTCAGCAATTTTGACCCACTCATCTCCAACAAAGGCTGCAGTTTTGTAGATGGGAATGGAGGAGACTTCACAGTCAGGCAAAACTTGACTTGGGAACGGGGACTGGAGTACTGCTTATTTCTAAGCGGCTTGCAGAACTGAGCTGGGGGTTTGGGGAAGGGAAGTGGTGGAGTTGAGCAGAAGACTTGTTTAAGTAAGGTGCTTTTTTGTCACCAGCTTCTAATATATTTTTTTCTTTATTCTTCAGGTTTATACCTCTGCTTTAACAGAAAATAAATAGAAAAAAGGAAAAGAAAAAAGTTAACTAAACTATCTCATCCCCTTTAAAATAGTACTTTAAAAAGTTATTTCTTCACTATTGTGAGAAGAAACCCCAACAACATACACAGATGTCTCTGTTTTTTAGCCTTATTTCCCCACAGCATCCAGGCTTGGGCAGCCATACAGCACACACAGATAGAAAATACTTGTGCTTACATGCATAGGTATTTGACTCTTTCCTGCTTATAGTTTTTGACCAATTTTAATTAGATTGGGAAAAGAAGTAGGTACCACCAAAGCACAAAGTTCCTACAATTTTGTAAAGCAAAAGGTAAGAATTTACTAATACTGCTCTGAAGGAACAGGCTAACCATCAGCATCAGAACTGGCATAGAGGAAAGGGATGGCAGCAAGGCTGGCTCTGCTACTAGAGCTGCCTGCTCCATCAGCCATGCCCGCTTTCATGCCTACCTGCTTCAGGATCAAGGCAATCCTCCGTACTACCCCGAGAGACCCAGGAGGAGCTGCCTGCTTACACTGACAGCCAGAGTCAGGAGACAACACAGTCCTGCCCAACACTCCCTTTCCCACAGCCCTGCTTCCCAGGGCCAAGTGAAAGCTTTAACCCTCAATAGCAAGTGACAGACATTTTGTAGGCCTGGGTACTCCAGTATTTAACTAACTCTCTGCTGCTTTCCTCTAGCCAAAATATTTCCTCTTTTGCACTTACTTAGCTGGCTTTTTTCAAACATAGATCTCTTGAAGCAGAGACTGGGTTTCTTTCTGTGGCGGCAATTTGTTTCTGCATTCTTTTGAGCACATTAGTAATCCTCTCCTTGCACAAAAAAATCACAGAAATAACTGCTTTATAACAGAGCAATCATCTCCAGCCCTACACATACAACTTGCCCAAACCAAAGTGACCAGCTACTGACCTGTACCTGGTTTCTTCTAGGTGATGACCAGAGGACAACTCCCACACAACCTCTCCTGCCCATCCATGGGCACCGTTGCTATGAGGCAGACTACCCACAGGTCCCAAACAAGCAGGAACACCAACCTACATTTGAACCCCCTCTGTCTCCTGTGCTTCTGGGCCAGCTCTAAAACAGCTGGCCAGCATTTGCAATTTAAGATGGGCATGCCATGCTAATCCCACGTGCTGATCACCCTTATTAAGGACTTACTCTAAATTAAGATGACAAAACAAGTTAATTGCTGCTCCTCCCTGCAGTCATTCCATGTCACTGTTATCTGGACACGGTACCGCCCTAAGGTCTATGGGTGACGCCTGTGAGACAGATTTTTGGTGTGTGTTCACACTTGACACATTAATTAACATAAACATTTTTGTGAGACTTTTGCCCTCTTGCCTGATGCCAAGAATGAAACTACATGGCTAAATTAACGAGTCTCCGTGACAGCAGGTGGAGAACCGAGCTGTCGGGGTGAAACGATTCCTGCGTAACATCCACAGGGACTCACAACTTACCGCCCTCCGGGGTGACGCGTGTGCGGGCAGACAGGGAATGGGTCACCCCTTGGTGCCTGCTGCGGCAGAACTCCCTTCTCCTCCCTCTCCCGCTTCACAAGGAAGCTTTGATTCCTCTGTGGGCTCCTAGCTCTGCTAAGTCCAGGCGTTGTGCTGGAACAGGGATGTTTATGAGACAAGATGGTTGTATTCTGTGGGGCTAGAAGACTGGTCCTGCAGGTATAAACTCCAAGCTCCAGCAATCCAGGGGTCCGACAGGTAAGCCCTTGGTTGAAAACCTTCCAGCCAAGAGACAGTTCATTTAAATACAGAGATATTATGTCATTACAGGGGTATTTGACACCAGTCCTCTGTCAACAGATGTTTACTCAGGTGCCTCCCGGTGCCGGGCAGTCCGATCGGGGGGCTGGGAGGCAGAGGGGTGCGACAGCCCCATCCGTCCACGCCGCGACACAGGTCACGGGGTTGGTCCTTTGGCCACAGCTCCTCACGAAAGCAGCACAAATTCACCACGGGAGCAGAGCAGTATAGGACGAAGGCTTCGGGTGCAGGGAGCCATGCAAGCGCTCGTGTCCGTTTTGTTAGCTACGGGGAAGGACGCTCAAGCCCCGTTTTAAAGCTGACTGGCAGCAGAGGTTGCGAGAATCGTTTTTTCCTTTGAAAACGTGACTCGGTCAGTGACACTAAGGCTGGCGGAGAAAAAAGCCAACCCCGCGGAGG